AACGAATCATTGCCTCCAGGTGTCTCTATGGGAATGTGAAACATGAAAGGGTCTGATAATACAGGGTAGCCAGAGATGTGAGCAACCTCCATACATTTGGGAAGTGGTGATCTGTCAAGACACATTATAAAACCCTATCAATAATAGTAAGGCCTGCATCAAGAGGTTTTCCGATCACTTCATTTTCCTGGTAAGGAAATTTTATCATGTTAAAGTTTTTAATCTCGAGCTTATTTCCCAAACTTGAACACCCAATGTTTGAAGTGCAGTCCTAGTTCTGTTCCATTATACATTGGGAAGGAGGGCTTTCAGGAGAATAAGGGAGAAATTATAGCAAGGCATTTAGCAGTTCCCCAAATGAATTTTTCGCAGGCAGGTCTTAGTTTGTGTTTGGGTTCTAATTTCAGAAGTCTGTTTTGGTTATCTGAACTTTAATTGCATAAAGGCAAAAAATTTCAACCTATATAAGTGGGAACAGCCAAATGCAGTGACCTTTGCACTTGCATATGATTTCTATTTTTCCATTTCCCTTTTGCTATTTTTTTGTGCAATTATTATGTGCAAGAAAAATAAAAGAATTCCCCACACTCTTATAAGGCTCCTGTAAGATGCGGAGAAAAAGGGGAAAAGCCAGCAACTTAAGAAGAGTACTTGCATATTTGTTTTATGCTTACCTGCACCTGTCTTTGGAATTTACATAATGGGACCAACATGGAACCTTGCGATTAATCTGCCACTGTGAATCCCAAACTGATCTTGTGTAAGCTGAAACATCAAGGTGGGCAAGTTTCCAAAGGTTGTCATAGTAGATTTCAACCTTTTTTGCTATATCTGAGCAACCAGCGAGATATATTCCTACCTCCTTTACCTGAACATAGTAGAGTACAAGTGAGATATATTTCAAACTGATCTCGTCCAGTTGTCGTGATCTTTGTATCTAACCTTCCAACTTAGGAACAACAACGGATCTTTTCTTGTGCATTACAAGTATTGACAAAGGATGAAAATGTTCATCAAACATGCTGGAAAGGAAATCGCCCCCTCCCCACTCATTTAGCTTTTAGTTCTTACTGTACAGATAGGAGAAGAACTGTACAGATCGGGATTTCCCTAACCTGCTACCATCTCAAGGTAGACTTTTAATTAAAACTATAAAGATACAATGTACACATTTTTATGGTACGAATGTAATTATGAAACTACTCTTCACTGTTAACAAAAATCGGATACTCCAAAGGAGTTTGAAGCAAAAAGTCAATAATTGACAGAGATGATTACCTAAAAATCAGGTGTAAGAGAGTTGGACAGCAGTGGTTGATGGACAACAGTGAGAAGATATCCGACTTATTTCCAACTTTGTAAAGTATTTCAAATATCAGAAAAAAAATCTTCCTATATGACATATGGTCTCTTCCTCAAGAAGCGTACTTAGACAACCATAATCCTAGTTTTTTTTGGTTCTATGTTTGAAAGAAGCAGTTCATTTTATTCTGATGGAATTTGATGTCTAACAATGTTTTATTCAGCAACATGGTCTTATATGCAGGGTCCAAATAGGCTAATTAACCAGACATTCATAACACTCATACTTCACTAGAATCACGATGACGATTTTTCTTAAGGTTTAGAAATTATAAGAGTTCTTCAGCTGCTCTTGCTAGATCAGGAGCATTTGGAGAAAGTTATTCTTGTTAATTTGGATCAGTTTTACCTGAGTAAGAGATTTCCAGTCATTGTTTGCAGATCCAATATAAACATCTCTACTGTCTGAGATCCAAACTTTAGCATGAACTACACCTGATCCCCACCAGTCGCTAAGCAGCAAGGTAACATTCTTTACATTTGGCCTCCCTGATGCTAAGTTGGATGGTTCTTCCGTGTAATCGGGATAAACTCCAGAATGCTGTAAAAGTCTGAATTGTGATTAGTTCCAAGGGAATGGGAGAAATCAGCATATGCACATACAGGCCAAACAAACACCTCATGTTTTCCTTCAGAGGCTGAAGCATGCACAAAAGAAGTTGGAGCATTTACATTGGTAAAGAACATAAATATTGCTATTTCAAGTAAAAGGCTTAATACATAGTTTACCCCCTGCTGTTGTACCAAAATCCCATTTAAACACCCCTAAACCGCGGGAATTGTTTCACACACCGATCATCCTATGCTAATGATATATGTTTAACAAATAGCAGCAAGAAGCAGATATTTCATAAAATTAACTCATGTTTTTTAGGCTTTAGCTATACCTACAGACTTACCTAATTGGAAGTTTGCGATTTGCAGCACTTTCTAATGCTTTGTAGACTTTCAACCCTTCGTTAGCACCAAATTGCCGCAACTTCTCATCTGAATATCCATAATCCCCTGAACGAGGATCAGAGGGACGTGGTACTAATTGCCAATATTGTGCAATTATGTCCAAACTCTTTGAAGAGTTTCCAGCCAGCCATTGAAGGACATCCGCTGAAACAATCATCAACACGAAGTTAGAAAGAAGTTACAAAGAGAAAGAAACACACTTAACTAGCTTCCATCTGACTTTGTGAGTTCCAATTTGAGACTTTGAGCTAATGAACTATGCACTCGGTGTACAATATAGAGACAAACAATGAGGTTTCCGAGCCTGAGGCCAACAAATTCCCGAAAACATGAAATAAAGATTTTGCAGCACCCTGAAATGGGAGTTAACTATAACCTTGCTAGCAGATTCCAACAAAAGATAGGTGCACACTTTGTTACACTCTAACAAAATAAAAATACTCCCTCTATCCCAATTTAGGTGATGCTTTTTCCTTTATAATCTGTCCCAAAAAAAGTGATACCTTTCTATTTTTAGAAACAATTTAACTTTAAACTTCTCATTTTACCGTTAATAAGATGATTTATAGCTACACAAAAATATATATGGTTTGTTTTAAACCACAAGTTTCAAAAGACTATCTTTCTAAACTATGTGCCCAATCAAAGTGGATCACATAAAACGGGAGGGAGTATATGAAGTCATTCACTAAAAAGATCACCATGTATACATCCTACAGATATTATGACTTGAGCACTTCGATTCTAAGCTGACTAGCCATCGCCCAGTGCAAGCAGCTCTTTTACAAAAAAAAAAAAAAAAAAAAAAATCAAAACGTACCAGTCCAATACTATGTTTTAATCTTAAACAATGAACAACTGATATCGGATTACAAAATGTATAAGATAAGAAGTAGAAGAAGAGTGGACATAATTTTGGGAACAGTTGCCAATTTTAGGAATCTGAACATTAATAGGAAGCAGTCAGTAGTCACTATCAAAGGATTAAGGCACAAAGAAACATAGAAAAGGAAGCCATTAAATTAATTCTGACAACATAATTTCTATTGGGTCAGTGAATTTACCAGTTGAAAGGACGCCGGAAACAGGAGCAAGTTGGGGCATATCAGTGGGAATGGATTGAACGAGCCATGCTTTGCATTTGGAAGAGTCATGAGCTGTTGCTGTAACAGTAGTTGCTGTAAGGAAAATGAAGAGGAGAAATGCGATAATGGCTCTCATCTTCCGCACTTAATTTTTCTCTGGATTTGAAGCAGTATTAATGTATATACGCTGGAATTTCAAATCCCAACGTTTTATCTCTCTGTTGACTTTTTCTATTTTACCCTCTACTTGTCTTCTTCCTTGGTACAGCTACAGCCTACAGCAGCCCCACCCGCTTCAATTCGGTAATGCCATAATTTATGTTAGACGCAACGCTTTGATTAGGCCTCCACTACATCTCTCCAAACTCTGCGGCATAAATCTTTTAGTGAATATATATGAATGTCTAAACCAATATTAACGTGTTCATATGAATCCGCAACTTGTTAGTCTATGTTCGCCCACACTTGGGATCGATCTCTTCTCTAACTGTATTGGTGAATTAAAATTTTTGTGCCTGTTATTTAAACGGACTTATAATACATTTCATATGTATGTCTAATTTTTTAATCTTAAATTCAAGATTGGTATAAGCTAAAGTGGACTAGCAAATTGATATGGTACATGTACTTAGTTTATTCAGATTTTCTAAATTATTTGATACTAGAAATAATTACACATTATGGACATATTTTTATATCTAAAAGACTTTATACAATTCTATACTGAACATTGTATGGGTCAAAATTTATCCCTAGAATACTTAAGTCAAAATAGTATTAGTAAAATATTCCCAAGCCGCCATGTGTCGAAGTGGTTTAAGGAACAAGGAAGGTTGTGGTCGAACAGTCAGTAAGAACTGAGGTCGAGGAGTCATCAAGGATCGAAGTCGAGGTCGACTACCCTTGACAGAGTTATAAAGGCTAGTTTCAAGATAGGACATTATGTGAATATTCTCTGCACTAGGGTTTCTAGGAATAAGTTCCCTATAAATAGAAAGAGACACAATGATCGGGGACATGAGATATTCATTTGTAGAATGTACTTTGACTTTATAGAGAGAATCTGGTCTCGACACAAGCACACAAAAATAACCCTTTTACTGAGATTCTTGCCTATACTTTTCTACTGGATCCAAGAATATCTCGGACACTCAAAGGCTTATCCATCATTCATGATTGTCAGAAAGAATATTCATCGATTTCATCCTTTCACGGGTGACTCATTTGCATTTATTTACATAAATGTTATTTATTGTTATTCATCACTATTTAATGTTACATTATTTCTGTTTGGGTTCTTAAATATTGATTATTATTAACTAGTCTTTGGGACATTATTATTAAGTAAGATTAACCCTCATTTGTATAAAATTAATTAGTTGAACCAAGATCTATATTTTTTGGTCAAACAAACATATATTGAAGTTATAGTTTAGTATTCGTAAATATTGTGTAAAGTTTCATATTAGATAAGTATTTCAAAAGATCCAAACATATAGCATGTTGTGCACTTTCTTTCTGGTTTATGAATCAAATAGTTAATTAAGTGAATGTGATAGAACAGTTCATTTAAGAATAAATTGAGATGGTTGATTTAGCAGAATGAATCCATTAGTGCCAGCCGTGACCTAGATTTAGGTCACTGAAATCACTGCACATATTCTTTTAAATCTCATCCACAATCAATTTATATGTATACATTCGCATAAATCTGCAATTCCGAGCCACTTAGCTTTAGAAGCCTTAAAATTTACATGTAGGACCAGGCTATATTAGCTCCTATGGCTGCAAAGAAACTGGTATATGTGTTGTTTCCTTGCTTAGACAAATTTCTTTTTCACAAAGGATGGGATAGACCGCGTATCTGAACTGGCTGGTTAGAAGGTAAGAGCTTGTGTCCTAGTGAATACAAATACTCCACCACCTCCAACAGCGCGGCCTAAGAGCATATTGTTATCAAGATAAGAAAGGTAATATAGGCCCCCTACAGATCGCCTGCACATGGTCCATGTTCACGTGAATACAATAGACAGACCAGTAAAAACTCAACTGTGATTACGGTTACATCAAGTTAATACCTCTCTGGGCTGGTAACTGGAACTTGAGCTTTGAAACTCCTAATAAACTGCAGTATCTGCAAACCAAGAAAAATCACTTTGGACATATATTTACATGATCTAGAGATATGTATTTTCCAGTCACAAAATCTTGCTGCGCTAGTTTTAATCTACTAGATCACGAACTCAGTCTCTTTTATTTTATCCCTTTAATTGTACCTGGACCCTCCATGAGGGAAGAGGGGCTCAAATAATTCTACACACCTATTGCGTAAATATACAGAAAATTAAAGAATATCTCAACACCACAGCATAACTACCTGTAAACTTAAAAATGACCTTGGCAGAATTGCTGGAGCTATTACAGCTTGCAGATCTTCACTGATGTTAATATTTTGAAGACCTATCTGAAAAGAAGAAGAAAAATGCATACGTGATACTAAAGAAGATACTTAAAGTAGGCGTCAGGCTTCCAACGCTGAGAACAAGTAGGTGACATCTATAACAAAGTATGTTTTCCGGGTTTATTTGCCATCTCATCAAGCTTCAGGTCATCTGTATGTACCAAGACGCACCTTTTGAGGAATCAGTGAACACTGAATGCAGAACCTAAAAAAGAAGATAACACATGAAGATGAAGTGCGACTTTGGCACATTATCATAATGATGCAGACACCATTCGACTATTTGAACAGTCAGGTAAATAGACTAGTTCACTTTGGCCTGTGGAAGTTCAATTTGACTATCAGGAACCAGTAAAAGATGTAGAAGACATAACCACCCTGTTATAGAATTTCTATCTCAGCTCAGATGAAGATGTATGACTAAATCTAACCCAGATAACTTTAGTGCAACAGGTTGAACAGAATATGAGTTGTGGATCATGAGTGTGTTTTACTTTCAAAACCAGTACTGGACGGTGTTGACTCTGGATTCTCAATATTTGATTATGTATCTATTTTCTCATCACTAAAGGACAGTATTTCTAACATTAAGCTTCTCTTAGAGTACAACTGGAAGACTTCTTAACTTCATATGTTACTGATCATGTCAACTTGAGGAGGATGAAAAGTTTTCTGAGAAACACAGTTTAAAGGGGAAAAAAGCAGAAGAGGCAAAGAACACTCGCATAGACACTGGACAGAATTTGATAATCATTATCCATGTAGAATTTCAAAAAGAAAATTCATCTTTCCAATCAGAAAGCATCAGAAACTAAGTAAAAGTAAAGCAGCACAAAGTAGTTAATTTAACTACTAAGGAGACCGAAGCACAAGACAGGACATAAAAGCCCGACAAATTTGCAGCGAAGCCATTGATGTCTATTACTGACATGGCCTGCAATATATGGAGTCCCAAAACACTACTTCAGAAGGACACGACATAGACTTCTGCTCGAGCACCGGAACCAATGATTAGGTAGAATATTTTAAGGAGAATGATGAGGACACAGCCATAAAAAGCCAAGATAAATAGTATACTTGAGTAGTAATCAGAAAAATTACCTCCTCAAACTTGAGGTAAATGTTACGAGCTGAAACGCAAGAAAATCTGGCAGAAACTATTAGCGTAGCACCTTCATTCTCCTGTAGGTATAAGAAGATCATTATCAAATCATTTGAATTAAACATGCCTTATCCTTTTCCTTCTTAGTATGCAATCTACCCTTTCCTCTCTCTCTATTACTCCTGTCAACCTCCCATTCTTCTAGTGTATATTAAAGGTCATAAGTTGAACAGTTTTACAAACAAACACAAAGATAAAATGACAAACAAGAAGAAGAGTAAATATACCACTCCATTCCAAAATGGATTGTAAGACACTCAGTATTCATTAAGCTACCTGTACATTCCAGGAGAGAGACATAGACTATGGCATGGATTCTTTTGGAGAATTTCTTACAAACTTTGGTATCAACCAGTGAAGGTTTTAAAGGTTAGAAATGCGACACTTTGAAGCTTAGTTCAGGTAGTTCTGATTTCAACACTTAGAAGTGAAAGCACTGATAGGAAATTAAAGGCACTCTGCTCTTTTTTATGGGATACAATAGTCCATGCAGATAGGATTTCATGAAACGCTGAAGTTACGCTCGTAAAATAAGATAACTAGATTGGGAATAAGCAGAATCCTTATAAGAAAAAGTAGAGAATAAGCAGAACAGAAGGGTAATAGAGGGGGTGACAACAACAACAATAACAAACCCAGTATATTTCCACAGATGGGGTCTGGAGGATAGTGTGTACGCAGACCTTATCCCTACCTAGTGAAGGTAGAAAGTCTATTTCTAATAGACCCCCCTCGGCTCAGAGAAAAAAAAGAAAGAAAAGGGAGAGAGAACAAAAAGAGGGAGAAAAGAATTAGTAAACCAAATAGTAACAACAGGGAAATACGATAACTGAAGCGAACCACACAACATGACGTAATATAGATCAAAGAATATGAAGAAACTTTCAGCTACCTACTAACCTTCTACCCTAATCCTCGACCTCCACACTTTCCTATCAGAGGTCATGCCCTTATTAAGCTAAAGCAACATCTAATCACCTCTCCCCAGTACTTCTTTGGCCTACCTCGACCTCTTCTCAAACCCGTCATCGCTAACCTCTCACACCTCCTAACAGGAGCATCAATGCTTCTCCTCATAACATACCCGACCTATCTCAGCCTCGACTCCTGCATCGTGTCCTCCACGGAGGCCACTCTCACTTTGTCCCGAATAACTTCATTACTTATCTTATCTCTCCTGGTACACCTACTCCTCCATCTCAATATCCTCATTTCTGTTACTTTCATTTTCTACACATGGGAGTTCTTGACTTGCCAACACTTAGCCCCATACAGCATAGTTGGTGCCTGGTCGAACTACCACTCTGTAAAATTTACTCTTAAGTCTTGGCGGCACATTCCTATCAAATAGAACACCGGATGCGAGCCTCCATTTCATCCATCCCGCTCCATTTCTGATTTACACCTACCCTTTTCTTATGGGATGCATTCAGAGGAAGACACATCACAGTTAACAAGCAAGCGGCAGTCATTTCTAAGCAAAGTAGACTGATAATATACGAGAGTACAAATAGAAGATGCTTGGAATCCAAATCTTATTGGATTCTAAGAACATCATTCACATGCTTTCTTTTCACTTAACTAAAGGAGTGGAGTGATTCTGGATTTATCAGCCACTAGAAATGTTTTATAACGTATGCAAAATATATCTGCAGATTGAGAGAAGTTTAACATGGTACGACTACAGTTGCCATGAGGACATCAAAAGAGTAGTCCCAACAGGTTTAAATTTAGATATTACCCACTACGTGTCAGACAAAATAGTGGTTGAAGAGATGAAGTAAAGCCCTTGAAACCAAAGTTGAAATTCGAGCAGAGGGAACATCAGATGAATCTTTTGTCTACTCCTTCCTAGGAAGAATTATCCCATACATGTAGTGGTGAGAGGTAGCACATATCAGGTGGATTAGTCAACGTGCTCAAACTGAACCAGACACCATCGTTAACAAAAGAATAATTTTTTGGTTTCCTTTTTGAAGTGCTTTTATTTCAAGAATCCATGAGCATTTAACTACTTCCCTTCTCAATTTTTTAAATGGAAGCAACTACGTAGATGTGCCTTCTGGCACTTCACTTCATCCCTTCTTACTAAAAGGGAAGCCCGATGCACTAAGCTCCTGCTATGAAGGGCCGGGTTTATTGTACGCAGCCTTACCCTGCATTTCTGCAAGAGGCATCCCTACATACTATTTTGTCAAATTCCCTTCCAATCTTCCATGCTTCAGCAAGGACCTCATTGCTAGTTGTTTTATGCTCATAGAGTTGAAGTTTATAAAAGTAAATGATGCTGTCAAAATTCTACAAGGAGAAGCACAATGCATAACTCTGAACTCGAGCATAAGGAGTTTGTACAGGTATAACTATTCTGAAGCACCTGAAGAATTACTGTAGGATAGGGTATCATGAAAAGAGAGGTGGGCAGTAAAGAAGAGCTGGAAAAATTAGCATAGGAGCAGAGAAAATGCTGAGTTAACATCAGTTCTACTATACTGAAGTTGCCACTCTGAAAAGGTGTGTCCAAATGTCAATATCTGTTTATAATATATATCAATTAACGATGCTGGAATTTCATACCAAGTAGGATTAGTTCTGTTTATAATCCTAAAGAGAGAAGGCAATTAAAAAAAAGAACTTTACACCAGCAAGCAAGTAATGGGTAAGAAGGCAGTATTGCACCTCTAATAAGCGTGGAACACTCCATTTGATGACATTGCGTACTAGTCCTCCACGGGATTCACTCTTGCACTCAAATTTCTGGAAAATTTGACCCACCTATTACATAACCCAGAAAGATCAGTTCAGCGGAGTATGCATGTAACTAGTAAATGAAATGATAGGAGTTGACAAATCTGGCATGCACTGCAGGTTGAGGAACTTTAGACTTTTCATTGAAAAGAAAATAGAGTATTTTGTTCTCTTTGTTTCTTGTTCATGTTGTAATATTATTAGATGGTAGTGGTACAGACATGATAAAATATACTACAAATATTTGATTTCAGTAACACATGAATGAAAATAGTCAAGAAAGGTTTGAGGAAATAAAGCTGTTTTTCTTTTCGAAGTTCATAGATCTGTGAATTGAAAAGTTAGACCTTATTACTGATTAGAAGTTTATTTGAACTACTAAAATACGAGGTCAATTTGCATACTATATTGTTCAGTTAACCTACTACTGCATTAGAAGTTGATTATTAATCTAGTATACACCAAATTGAACCTGAAAGAACGGAAGCCTAGCAGCAGATTCAAAAAGAATGACCACGTCCGATGCAGATGTATACTGCAACCGCCATGTTCCGTCCAACTTACTCAAGTCAATTTCTTTGCCAGCATCAAAACTTTCAACCACTACCTGATGATATCTCAAATCTAGTCAATACGCTAGGATAAAGTGGAACATTATTTTAAACACAAGCAGCAGACCATAGCCTCCTCAATGATGGATCGTTGATCAGCAGTTGTCACCAGTCCTCGTTGAGTATCTTGGATGATTTTAAGCAATTCGTATTTTTGGCTTTCCAGTTCATTCTCAGCATCCTGAGCAAATCCAAATTGGATGTAAGAAGTGCTGTGAACAACACAAGGCAATATCTTAAAATTGTTCTCGTGTTAAAAACAAAGAACCTAGAACAGGAGATGTTCAACACAAACAGAGAGGAAAATGAGAACATGGGATACGAAAACAGTGAAATATTGGACATACTCTTGTCGCAGTCATGGAGGTAGATGACATGGAGGTGGCCAAACATGCAACTCTTCCATGGTTGTGCACTCCTCTTATGGTGTTTGAAAAGGAGACAATAGGTCTCGTGCATATGGCAGAACTGAAACCTGCTGGCAAGTAGGAATAGTAGCATTTAGATCCATATCACTTATTGTGTTGAATAAACCTTCAATATTACAAGGAAAGGGCTTATATGGGCAAAGGAATGATGCCTAAATCAACAAAAGAGTCATTTATAGGATTTAAGAGCTTGAGCGAGGGGTTTATCATCCGCAGTCCACAATTCAGACTACAATTGCAATTTGTTTGGGGAGATTCTTTTCTGTAAGCAATTGTTGTCTATCTTCAAAGTAATGGAGATCATGCTACTGTGCAATACATCAACCAGTGAGTTCACAGTTTTGCTTCACATCCCAATAATATCAATATGTTTCTTCCAAGAATCAGTTTATAAAAGGAGTATAGACTGTTATGCCTATTGTTTAGTCCCACAAACATTGTTAAATGAATTAACAAAGTCAGCTCTAATTGCACTTTGAATGATTTGCAAATATGATTGTGTGCTCCCAAGAATCAAACTTGTGTGGAAAGCTCGTTCCAAAGAACTTATTCTACCTGCATTTCAGGATCACCTTAAAATTGTTTGACTGAACTTCTTTGAGTTTACCGGAATTTACTACCAGCTTACGGTAGCAGGAAAAAAGTGAATGCATCACAGTTATATACACTGAGCTTTGTAAAGATAAAGACACTCATGACAAACTATTGATATCAGTGCATACAACAAGAACATAAATCCAATTTTTATGCTTTAAGTCATTTAGTGTTAATATACAAAGGCATTACTAACATTATGGTCCTATATGACATGGACCAGATACAAGTACATTATGCAGGTATTGTTTATGCAGTGATTAACAATGAACAGGGCGGAGCCACTGTTCTGGCTACGGGTTCGGCGAACAGAGTAGCTTTGGTCCAAACCCTATATTTGTCTTGAAGAGATTGTTGTGCAGTGTCTGACAATGAAGAGATTGTTGTGCAGTGATTGATAATGAAGAGATTGTTATGTGATTACTTTCTTTAGAAGGGATTTTTTTCTTTAAAGAATCCCCCATTGCTAATACATGTATTCTAATTCCACATTCTATCCAGCACGATAGATTCTAGCATAACTTAATGCGGTTTTTATTTAATACCGCAAACCAAATGCTGCATTAGAGTTATGCGGCAATTATTTTTCCTTATGGGAGCAACAAAACACTATATCATCTTATATAAAAATTTACACTGGGATTAATAATTCCACTACATCACCAAACGATAAATTTCTTACGAGTTTTGTGTATCATTCTACGCACTTGACACATTTCCACACTGAAATGTTGTCACAGCTACTATCACTAGAAGTTGCAGCAGAAAAATCTCGATACATTACTTAAATCTTCGAAATGGAAGAGAGCAAATAGCAAGTTTGTAATAAAGTATATGGAATTATAAAAAGAAAATTTAAAAAATTACCTGAAATCATTTGGTAGCGATTAAAATATCAAATGAGGCATGAAGGATTACCCAGAAAGTTGAGATTCTCAGAATGCTTAAGTTAGAACTAAATATTCAATATGTAGAGCCAAAGAAATAGTGGAAGTTTTCTGCAGCAAAGTGCCTGGTTGATGGTGGTCTCATCCAAAATGTGAAATCACATTTATGCCCCTTCATAGTTATCAATTATCTTTTTATATTGAGTTAATACCCTAGACCCCCTAAACTATTACGTTTTCTTTAGTTTACCACTTAAACTATTGGATTTTTCCAAAATCACCCTTAACTATATTGTCCTTCATATTAAAATTTTATATTGTTAGAAGTGTGTCTAGTACACGCTCCTAATCATCTAAAAAACGTGTCATGTGGCACTACACGTGGCTATTTAACTCAGCCTAAAATCCTCCTAAACTATAACTTTTTTGTTAGTTACCTACTTAAACTATCTGGTATCCCCAAAACCCCCTGAAGTATATTGTCCTATATGTTAAAACCCCATATTTAATTCTTAGAGGTATGTCTAACTATATTAACTTATGGTTTGTACTAAGTTTTTTTTAGTTTATTCATGATGTATTACTCTCGGATGACTGATTAATTCTAGGAGTTTTAGCCAAAATAGTATCTAATGTAATGTGTTAATTTTAGGTTTAATAGTGATTGTATTTTATGCTATGTCGATGCCCCCTTTTTCTCGCAAAATCCGGTTTATGATATTTGGGCGGACAACTCGTTTCCTTTTGGGAATTGGGTTTGAATTGAAGAGTCGCCACCTAATGATTAAGTGCATTAGGACACTAAGAAGAAATTTGATTTAGAAAACCAGATAATGGGTAAGCGCTTGAAATTATCTCGAGGGGAAGGTGTTAGGCACCCCTGGAGATCCACTAGTGTGGTTCCCGGCCATGCTATAATTGACTTTAAGTGCAAACAACAAGTAGCCAAGCAAGAATTACAAATACGAGGAGGTTTTCACATAATGGCTGCAAGCAATTGAAAGAAGTTAAAGAAGTTGAAGTTTGGGAAGAAAGCAGTTTTTTTTGAAATTCTGAAAATAAACAAGTAAAGGAAAGGGGGTTTTCACATAATTACTGCAAATAATTGAAGTAAAAAAAAGGGTTAAAGAAGCTGAAGTTTGAGAAAAAAAAAACAGTTTTAAAAAATAAACAAGTAAAGGGAGGGGGGTCCTAGGTTTATAAATAATATGGATCACCCCACATAACACCCGGTAACCGTTTATACATGTGGTTATCGTGTGGTCATTATATCCATATCTACCCTTTCCCACCCTGTTAAGGTATTAAACGCGGAATGGTCTCGTTTTCTTATTGCATGCTACTACCCGCCCCAATCCTATCAGCCCCGGAGGTATTTGGGACTACTAATCCTAAAGGGAAGGGATGTGAGGTTTTATAGTTTCAAAGGACAAAATTCTAAGGCGACAATCAAAACACATACGTAACAAATATGGGGGAGAAGCACATAACAGATAGAAAGGCTTAAACAAACCTCCTAAAAAACAAAGAGAAGCATATAGTTTAGCATGTCTTTACACGTACTGATTAGGGTCTGTTTAAACTTAAAAGTTGTGGCGGACTGATCTATTACATATTTCAGATAAGAAGCGCAAATCAGGCCTGCCTGCTGGTTGTAGTTAATAAAAATCTGATTCAATTTATAAGTTATCCTATGGCTTGCCTAAGTGTTAGACGAAAACCTATAGGCATGATATCCATCAGTTTCAGAAAAGAGGTTCACTGATTTAGGAAGAGAAGTTGTCAATTACAGGAGTATAAATTCTGCGGTCGTTATTGTTACTATTGATTGTTTAGACTTAGTTGATAGTTTCTATAGGCATGCTTTCTAGGCGTTATTGATTTTAAAACATTTTTTTTACACTCGAAACAAGAGCGCAGAAGTCTTATAGGCATGGTATCTAAATGTTGTTTAGTTTAAGATCCTATAAACAGGTTTGCCTAGTGATAGATGCAGATGCAAAATTCAGGAAGCCCTATAGGCATATTATCTATATGATATGCAACATTTCAGAGATGACTTATAGACACGGTCTTTACATAATGCAGAAGTGCAGAACCTATAGACATAGTTTCTATATGAGATGCAGAACCTACAGACATGATCTCTATATGAAATGCAGGACCTATAGACATGGTTTCTATGTGAAAATGCAGAATCCTATAGACATGGTTTCTATATAGAATGCAGAATCGAAAGTTGAAAGCAGGGCATGAGTGCAGAAGTATAATAATCTCCTATGAACATGATATCTACCCCTTTTACATGCAAGATATACCCTCCCCTTTTCACTAACAGCCCCAATAGTTATTGCAAGTTATTACAGCCCAGAATAAATAATAAAAGGTAAAATTACATCAGAGAAACTAAAATTTTACAACCAAGGAGAGCCTGATTCAGGTTTCCTGCCTGAAGCATGAAGTAAACCAACTGGCAAGATCAAAATCCAAAGCCTTTCTCATTTGGGGTGTGTCAGAGTTTCCTAAGAGCCTCATGGACCCCGGGCAGTGCTCACACCCAAATACATTGCAAGATTGAGTCATAGTGCAGTGTGGAAGAGCCAGCCCTCAAGTGTCCAAGTTCAGAGGGAGCTCAAGGTCCCAAGGCAAGGCTCACAGGAGGGGGGCAGAACTTAGAAACTAGGAATGAGTGTAAGTGCAGAGAAAGGGATTCTGGGGAAAAGCAAAGATAGGCTGGTGGTCATACCTAGCAATGAGAAGTGCTGGCACACCCCAACCAGCCTGTTAGCCACATTGTTTGGGAGTTAGGATCCCCTAAGGGATCAAGTCGAGACATGAGCAACAATTTGGATGTTGCCATGTTCTGAACTTCAACTCAAACACATAGAAGGGGACAGGGGTGCAGGGATTCACAGTAGAAACATATGCAAAGAAAACAACATACATATTTAACACTGAGCATGGACAACAAAGTAGACAGGATTGCAGAAGCTGTAAAATAAACACATTGGGATGAGGCTGAAAACTAAACTAGAACATACCAGTTTCAGGGAAACAAGAAAGAAAGCAGTAGTCTTGTAAAGCCAAATTGCAAGCAAATAGTCAGAAGATTTTAGAAGAGAGCTACGAGATTATATGTGTAAAAGTGTTGAACTGAGAGTTATGTAACTGAAAGTGTCTGAAAAGTGTCGAATTCCCAGTTTTTGGTGAGAAAGGAGTCGTGCCCTTTTTATAGTGTAGAAGGTAAGCAGAATAAGGTAGGAGAATAATTTAAAAAATCAGTTGTCAATCAATTACACAAGTTTCCCTTTAGTTAAGGGATTCTGATTTCAAACGGGTAAAATAATTAAGGAAAGAGATTGATCAAAACCTTTTTCAAAGCAGTACAAGAAGGGTAAATACACAGAGATTTATATAAGGAAAAAGTCCGGTAGCACACGGTTTGTGCAAATAAGGAAAGGAAATTAATTAACAGCTAGTAAATCACAAGGTCTGAATTTGGTATGGATGAATCCAGTCAGAAAAGGTGAGCTTTACTTAAGGAAAATCAGTAACAATCAATCAAACCTTAAAAAAAGGATTCTCAATCAATCATAAGTTGGAAAACCTTTTCAGAAGAAAGAATTCATCACACATATAAAAACATACAGCCATGCTTAAGCACGAAGAACTATCATGCTAATCAGCAGAAGAGTCTTGCATAGAAAAAGTTCAGAGTCATAAACAAAGAAGTTCAAGCTCAGTTCATAGACTCAGAATGAGTCTGAGAGAGTCCAGGGTTCCAAAATAGAAACCTAGTCCAAACACAAGATCAAAACTCGCCAAAACCCCCAAATCCTAGGGTTTCCAACTCGAATCAGATACAGAGACGAGGAGACAAATAATTGAAACAGGCTCAGAGGTCTCTTTCAGAGACTTATGAGAAAACAAGCAGATGCAATAGCAAGTTTGAAACAACAGAGTGAAGAAACTGATTTGAAGCATAATGAGGGTAGAAGGAACATGTTTAAGAAAAAAACCTGGGACTTAAACAAGTTCAGAAGAGAAAAGAGGTAGTATAACACTTAAGGAAACAGTAGAAGAAACACATTTAAAGAGAACTCAAACAAGGTCCAGTAAAAGGCAATCAAAGAACTTAAGAACTCAGTAGGAGATACATACAGTAGGAGAACACAAAATACCAGAAAAGTATATCAACAAGACATATAGGAAAAACACAGCAGGATGAACATGCGAGCAGGGTGTAGAAACACAGTAGAAAAGCAAGGCACAGAAGACATGTACAGTAGAAAACATAAGAAGCAGTAGAAGCACATGCATGACAAATACACACAAAGAAAAGGAAAAGAAAAGTCGGGGAAATATTTTGAACTTTTCAGAAACCCTAAATCGAAGAGAAGTAATTTTTTGAAAGAAAAATTAGGGAAAACGTTTAAGAACTCAAGTAGAGCACATATATAGAACAAATTTAAGAAAACAAATCAGAGAAAACGTCGAATAGCTAGGGTTTCGGAGGAACCCTAGAATCAGAAAGGCTTGGAAAAGGTCCGATCTGAGTCGGATAAGTCCGACATAGGCTCATAAGGCTTGGATACGCCGGAGCAAGGCCAGAGAGGCCATAAAACCTTGAATCGGAGAAGATCTGAACGGACACCATCGAGGTCAGACCTCGAAACTTCGAACACCAAGCATTCAAGAGCAGAGGGAGATGAGTGTAGGCCATCCATGGCTTGAGAGGCCATGGATTCCGGTGAGTTTGAGGTTGAAAATGGTAGAAGACGATTAGGGTTTCAGGAACCTTCGAGAGAGTTTGAGAGAGGAGAGTGTTTGGAGGCGGCTGAGAGAAGAGAATGGGGGGATTAGGGTAGTCGTTTAGGTTTAATTATGGAATGGTGGATAGGAGCCGTTGATCTCAGAGATCAATGGCCCAAATCAAAAGGGCTTGGGTCGGGTAATTTAAAACGGGTGAATGGTTGGGTTAAATGGGATTGGGCTGGTCTGATATTGGGTTCAAAATTGGGTCAATTAGGGGAGCCAATTTTGGCTATAATTGAAATAAAAATGGGTCAGGTTTTAAATAGCCAGTTTTTTCCTTTCTATTTTATAAAAATAGT